TGTGTGTGTGTGTGTGTGTGTGTGTGTGTGTTTGTGTGTTTTGTGTGTAGGTGTGTGTGTTTGTATTTATATATACATGTATATTGTCGAATCTATTTTACTATATAAGCAGATATACAGATATATATGTGTGTTTTCATGCTTATCAAGTTTGTATAAGGTCTTCGTGTTGTAATGTTACTTTTGTAACGGCATCCGCACATATTCATATCGGAATATCTGCAAAGAAGGTCCTTTTCTGTGCAACATTGCTTAGAGGCGGTCGTTTTACGGTTAGAGATCATGCTCTACTAACGGATTAAATAGTTTGTTTCTATTTGACCACAATACACAGTTCTGATTTCGGACCACATGACATAGATTTGATTTTGGAGGCCAGTATGTAGCTTTGATAGAGAGAGGAGAGTGTCGCTCGGTGTGATGCTCATATTAAGCCTTGTGCCCTTATGTGACTACCATAGGAATACATTGGCGGAGGTTATCCTGATTTGCCGAGTCGATCACTGTATGACGACAGCGATGACGAATCCTCAGACACAGTCGACAGCAACTATGTCCCGACCGTGTGGAGGGTATGTCCAATTATAGACGGGTGTTGTGGTGTATTTTCTGTTGTTGAAGTATCATCTTTATAAATAGTAAAGCCCTTCACACGCGTTCCAGCTGTAAGGAGGGTCCGTTTGAGTGTGTTACGGGTCTTTGTCACTTGCCTAGTGTAGAGCTGCTCAAGAACGTGCAAATGTCGACGTAGTACACGCACCGTGGCATATTCTCACATGCCAAGACGCATTGTGCGAGAGATGTACACACCTATCGAGCACCCAATATCACGTTGGATAAAGAAAAAACATCAAATGACCAGAACTAGTACAGCTACATACGGAGTCTAGATGGCCTCGTTCCTTGTCGCTGCCTGGCGGTATAAGATCTCGGGTGTTGCTGCTGCCAGTCCATACCGAGAAAGTATGTGGCAGCCTACCAGGTTGTCATAAACACCTGAAAGCCCCCAATGGATCTCTGTGACAAACACTGTCTGTGAGCGCCGGGCGCCTGAATTACTATCCACCTCTGGGCGAGTATCCTTATTCCTCCAATCCCATAAGACCTATCACGCATTGCAACATTCAATGAATTCAATAGGATATACACATTCCGATGGATACACCAGGACTCGCACTTCAGTGATTAATACGTGTCTGTGCTCTTTTCTCTCCCGCTGAAATAGTTATCCCAACGCTCGCGGTCAACCGATGGGAAGTTAAAGTGCAAGACGCTGATCATCAGTGTTAGCGCTGACACGGGCGGCGCCCTTGAACAACTGTTGCATCTACACAGGACCAAACCCATGGCCACCCTCATCACTCCCACGGCTGTACAGGTATATTGGTGCGGCGTATACGACTCTGCCGTATATACATTGCCCCTCAGTCTCATGGCATACTCCTGCACACTGTAGCTCAGGTGCTCTCTAGGCGTTTATCTTCATACCTTCATGGCATGCCCAATCTCGTCCTTCTGATACCCATACCTCACACTGACTCGCCACAGTTACCAATCAACCAACAGTCTACCAGCGGTGCACGCACATGCTTCTGCTACGACCTGTCTACAGCCACGACGCAGCCCCACGATGTTGTGCTGATGAACTGCAAGACGAGAATACCCGCCGAGAGTGCGTTTGACTTTGTGCACACACTGTTCGAGCACATCACGCCCAGCTCGAGAGTGGTGGTACTGACGAACAGACCTCACCTGGAATATGTCACAAAGCTCACGGAAGAGAAGCACGAGATAGTCTTTCCTATAGTACGGGCCGTGGGCACGAGTCGTGCGTATGCCGAGGTGTGTGAGATGTGTGAAGGTGTGACGAGGGTAGGGGGGTCTCTTGAAGGGTATTTCGTATGCGATTGTGTGTGAGCATCGAGGCTATTAGTAGTGTTGGCAGAGATTGCGTAAATGCGTTCATGGAAATGTGCCAATGTGCAAATTTGAGAATATATAGCTGATGTGACGGTGTCTTGCGTTGGTTGTGATTGGAGGGAATGGATGAGTTAGTGTGCATATATATATATATATATATATACATGTATGTATGTTTGTTTGTTTGTATATATATATATATATATATATATATATATATATATGTGTGTGTGTGTGTGTGTGTGTGTGTGTGTGTGTGTGTA